GGCGGGTCAAGAGAGGTCTGCTGCGCCAAGTGGTCACCTCCTGGGCAGGTGGGGATTGAACTCATGTGGAAGTGGCTTGAGCTTCTCAGTGCTGTGCTTTAACCCACTGCGCCACTAGGGAGGGCCTCTTTCTCACTTTTAAATAGTTTGATCTAAATACCTGGTAATAGTTAAGAAAAGCATCATCATATTCAGACTATTATAAGAATACTGTCAGTATACTGAAATTTTTTCAACTTTAAAAAAATATGTGCTGAAGACTATATAAAATGTGTTCACGGTGGCCCTCCCTGGTGGCGCAGTGGGGTAAAACACAGCACTAACAAGCTAAAGCCCTTCAGCATGAGTTCGATCCCTACCCCAGAAGTGACCCACATGGCACGGCAGATCTCTTCTGACCCGCCTGCTGCTTCCCTTGTTACAGGGCAGGGAAAGGGGCACCACTGAACCCGCAAACCTGATTGCTTTAAATAGGTTCTGCCGTCTGCCACATCAAGACAAAACATATCAGACTTTAATAAAAAGGAACTTTAATACAGTGAATATACAATATGAAAGACAAAGAATACAATTTCTATCAAACACCTAAGTTACCTATCCCCTCGTGCGCAGAAGTCCACCTAGAAGGGATTGGCCCAAAGCAAGGCCTGAAAGCTGCCACAAGACGAAAGCACCTTCTGGCTGGGACCCATAGTAAAGGATCAGAAATGGCCAGAAAAGTCTGGGGAGAAAAGAGCAAAATCAAAATCTATATAAACACTGCCATAGTCACCTCCCTACAGGTATCTCACCCACATCTGCCTTAGCCAGTCCAGGGTCAGGAAACAAGCACAGTTTCTTCATCACATGCTTGCTGCTCCATGTGGCTTCCTCAGGTCTCCTTCTGGCTCTCCATCCTGCTTCCTTCTTTTTCAGATTCTTCTTCTTTTCTTCTTTTCTCTACTTAGCTCTACCCTCCTTCTGAGTGGGGCAGGAAACCTGGAACGTCCCCTTTTCCTGGGGACCACCCTATTACACCCTCAGCAGTTGATCTACCTGTTCTGTTCCCCACTCTGTCTCTGGTGAATCCTCTCACTGCCCCTGCACTTCTGGCCTGTACCCCAGTTCTGTATGCATAAATAAATAAATCTTTAAAAAAAATGTATTCACAGAATAATACATTTTAAAAATAAAAAGGATACTGTAATATCTGCTGTAGAAGTGTGATTTTTTCCTTTGTGTTGATTATTTTGATTATTAGTGTTTTTAGTGAATAAATAAGAATACTAAAAATACTCCCACTGATAAGTGGTGACTCTTTGTGACCAAATTCTAAAGAAATTAAGATTTTTAATAGTAAAATAGGTTATTATAATAAAAAAATACAGTGCATTTTTAATAGAAAATAATTTGGAGTTATTAAGCATCTGATATTATGATGTTATTAAACTGAGATGACTGGATTTGAAGTTAATTCCTATTTAGATAATTAAAACTTAATGGTACTGTAGTAAATTCACCACTTACTGAGTTTGATTTTCATGATTTTGTAGGTGATTGGTCTGTTGGATGTTTTTACACCTGCAAGATCTCTGGAGGAATTCAATGATGTGTGAGTATCTTTTGTGTTTGCCTTTTTCCCAGCTAGAGAATGAAGATTAGTAGCTCATTTCCATTCCTGAACCTTTTAGCAATGTACAAACTTCATGGATTCTTTATTTCTATTATTTCTATCAACTAACTGTCCCAGAAGATGGGACAGTATACATTATGGGCAGTATAGGTTAGTGCTGTTATCACTTTAGGCACATTTTGCCTGATTGGGAGAGTCACTGGTGAGTCCTTACAAGAGTTTGATGGAGATGAGTATGGAAAGTTTTGATGATGATATTTGTTGTCAAATAACCTATCCTAGCTTTTTTTTTTTTTAAAAAAAGATTTATTTATTTATACCTACAGAATGGGGGTACAGGCCAGAGATGCAGGGCAGTGAGAGGATTCACCAGACAGTGGGGAGCAGAACAGGCCGAATGACAAAGTACACTGCTGAGGGGAGCAGCGGGCGGGTCAGGAGAGGTCTGCCACACCATGTGGATCACCTCTGGGGCGGGAATTGAACTCATGCTCAGGCGTTGTTAGCTTCTTGGTGCTGTGCTTTAACCCGCTGCACCACCAGGGAGGGCCCCCTATCCCAGCTTTTAAAGGGACATCATTACCTTTTCGTTAAGACACATAACAGAGTCCTGGCTTCCTATATCCTCTTTCATGTGTTCACTGTGTTTAGGTGTTGGAGACCAGCTCCAACCATCGAGGTGTCTGGAGGCGAGACAGGCAGGGGAAGGCGTGGGCGAGCGGAGATTCCAAAAGGGGAGAGGGGAGTGGACGCGAGGAAGACACGGGAGTCAGGATAGGGTGCAAGTCTTCCTGCCATTCCCTCAGCAGGTCTTTATTTATACTGTGTAGCAAGTAGTTAATTGCAATAATGCATAGGGTAAGTTAATGAGAAATCACCATAAAACGTTCTCAAGGACAAGGGGAACAAAGCATTTTTCTCTTAATATATTATGGTATTCTAGATTATACGTTTTTGTGATAATTATCACATGTACAGCTGTTTAGTTATCACTCAAAGGAAGAGTGGTCTGGGAAGGGATGAGCTCATTAGCAAAAGGATATTAGGGGTCTTGGGGTAGTAATAAATTGTGTTAGCAGTGTTATCAGTGATTGTCCAAAGAAAAGCTAGTGGCTTGTAGTTAGTGCTTGTTTTAAAAAGGAGTAAATTAAGAGAAAGTTGTACATTTGTGTATCAAACTACACCTGTGTAGTCAAGGTTAAAATTTGTCCATGAGTCCTTATGCCCTGGGAGTTTTATCTGAGGCTTGCTTTTTTATATAAAGAAACCAAGGAAGCTTCCCAGGAGTTTTTATGCCCTGGGGTCTTATCTCTCCTGGGGCTTGCCTTTTGTCTCAGGAGACAGAGGGATTTCTCACCCTGGGGCAGCTTGCCTTAACCATGCAGCCACCTTATGAGGCTAAGACAATCCAGTTATAAACTGATGGTTGCTCAAAATATTTTAATATTATGATTATACAAAAAAGGGAGGTCATAACATAAATTAGCAATGGAAATTCTGATTTTTCAGAGCTTTTCCACATCTATCTGGAGTCTGTCAGTCGATAGACGTTGCATATCTTGTGTCATTTAAGAAATGGTACTATAACCGCATGTGGACCCTTGAAGTATTGCTTTCTGCACTAGCATAAGGGTCAGGCTTTGCATGTTACGAAATCTAATGGATAGTGCTGATTTTCCCAGTGTGTGACCACCTCTATATTCTAGTGTGGGATGCCCTGGGAAAGCGGAGCCTGTCGCTTTCAGGAACCAGTATTATGGGGCTAAGGAAAATAATAAGGAAAGTAGAGAAAGCTACTGCAAAGGTATATTAAGTCGGTCATCTCTGTGGCCTGTGGGCTGAAATCTGCCAGGGTCTTCTGAAAAGCCATGCATTTTTTACAGTGCACCTCATATGGGGAGCATTTACCCACTGTCTTCTGACCCCATGGGTAAGTGTTCCATGGGACAAGAGTACTGTTGCATTCCCAGTGAGTGCAAGACAGAGTCCAACACATGTTTTTGTGCACTGTGTAAACTCTTGAACTTTTTCCAGTATCTAAGTCATCACGCCCCTCTCCCAACTTCTGATTCACATATATAATGTATACTGTATGCATAGATACTGTATGAGAAAGAGGGAAAGCCTTCAATTTAGTTATCTTACACATTTTGTCCTGTTGAAATTTTGGCATTCCTAGTTGGAAAGAGTGACTATTGTAAAAGTTGGTCAGATTTATAGAATATAGGTGCTTGTCAATTACCTTTACTTTCTGTTGTTCCTAGTGGGGACAGTTTTTCCCTATCCTTAACCTGAATTGAGTTTCTCCTACCCTTATATCCTAGCTGAGTCTCAATACTATTTGTTCCTTTCCCAAAAAACAAACAGGGACAAAGGTTTGAGCTTGTATGTTCTGCCTAAAGTGAGGGGCGGGGAAAGAATGGAGAAGAAATGGAAGAGGGAAAAAGTAGCAAAAAATTCCCCCACCATTTGAATGTACTTGGAACATGGTATGACAACAAATAGAAGATGAAAGAGATGAATCTCGTCCAAGCACATTAATCTTGACTCTGCTAATGAAACAAGCAAAGGATAAAATAGACATCAGTAAAGAACAGCAGTGCACACTGGTGGGAATGCAAACTAGTACAACCACTATGGAAAATTGTTTGGAGGTTCCTCAAACTCCTAAACATGGACCCTATGACCCAGCAATCCCACTCCTAAGTATCTACCCAAAAGACACAAAAACACTGATTCAAAAAGATTCCTGCACCCTCATGCTTATTGCTGCTTTATTCACAATTGGAAAGACATGGAAACAGCTCAAATGCCCCAAAAATGGATGACTGGATTAAAAAGATGTGGTACATATACACCATGGAATATTACTCAGCAACCAAAAAAAAAGAAACACATGCCTTTTGCAGCAACATGGATGGAGCTGGAAAAGATGATGCTTAGTGAAATAAGCCAGAAAGAAAAGGAAAAATACCAGATGGTTTCTCTCATAGCAGGAATATAACGGAACAGGCGAGAAAATAATGATAATGATGAACAGCCATATACCGGAGACATTTTGTGGGGGTGTAGTAGGGAGTGGGATCAGAAACAGTGGGGGGGAGGGAAATGCACTGGACTATATGGTGATGGCACATGGGTGATTTGGTGATGGTGAGCCCAAGGGGATTGCAACTGAGATGGGAAAATGCACAAAATGATGTAAAAATAAATTATAATATATTAAAAAAAAAAAAAAAAGAGCAGCAGTGCAGTTGGTGGCCTGCTTGGCCTTCTATGTGGAAGATCCCAAAGAATCCTGGGCGCCCCCAGGCAGCATGTGTTACACACTGTCGGGCCCTGCTGTGTGCTCTGCTTGGAAAAGACAATATTGCAGAATGACATTTTTTCTTTTAATTAAATAATTATTACTTATTTTTAAAAGACTTTAATTTTTAGAGTTTTAGGCTGACAACAAAATTGACAGGGAGGTAGTTCCCATATCCCCCTCCTCCCTCACATGCATAGCGATCTGCATTGCCAATATCACTCACCCAAAAGGTTGATTATTTTTTTTACTGATGGTGAACCTACGCTGACTTAAAATAATGACTTTAAGTCCATGGTTGACTTCAGGCTTCTCTCTTGATATTGTCCATTCTGTGGATTTACCCATACATATAAGAAACTGGTATAGAACAGAGGCGTGGGAATGGGAGGGTGTGGGGGTGAGAAGGTTCACCAGAGACAGAGGAGGGAACAGAACACTGCTGAGGGGAGCAGCTAGTGAGACAGGAGAGGTCTGCTGCGCCTTGTGGGTCAGCTCCCTGGTGGGAACGGAGCTCGTGCTCAGTGGCTGCAGATTGCTTCACAGTGCTGTGCTTTAACCCATGGCACCACCTGGAAGGACCATGATAATCATTTGGCAACACATTCATATGGGATTTGAATTAGATCCCAAGAATTAAGGTATAATAAAAATGGATTTACTTAACAAAGGAATTGATGATTTGCTAACTCTGATCAGACACTATGTTTTGGTGTAACCTGACATTGTGGAACTAGATTATACATCTTTTTACCTATATAAAAAGACCTTAGGGCCCTCCCTGGTGGCGCAGCGGGTTAAAACACAGCCCAAAGAAGCTTAAGCCACTTCCGCCTGCCCCGGAGGTGACCACATGGCGGAGGTGACCATATGGCGCTGCAGACCTCTCCTGACCCGCCCGCTGCTCCCCTCAGCAGTGTACTTCGTCGATCTGCCTTTTCTTTTCCCCACTCTGTCTCTCGTGAAGCCTCTCACCCTCCTCATCTCTGGCCTGTACCCCAGTTCTGTATGAATAAATAAATCTTTAAAAAAAAAAATACACTAATTGCAAATATACCCACTGAACTAAAATTGCATTTGTTTCTTCATTCATTCACAAATACCGTGAATGGGAATCTGTTCTTTTTAACTGGGTTCTGACTATTTTACTTCCAGTTTTGTTGAGATATACTTCACGTATAACATTATGTAAGTTGGGTTCTGGTTAAAGTAAGAATTGAGTTCATCTCTTGGGAGCAAATCTCAGTACTACTTGGTGAATATTTGCTCAGCAGAGTATTGGAATAGGGTCAGAATAATTAGAAACAGTAGTCTTTCTCAATTAAGTCACAATTTAGGTAGGAGAAATAAATTGAGAACACTTTGGTAACCAGCTACCAATTAACCGTTTGACCTTGGATTAGTCACTTTGCCACTCAGGGCCCCAGTTAACTTCCTTGTAAAATGATGAAAATTGGGGTCAGAATTTTGAATTCTGAAATGTTTTCTGGTCCAGAGAATCTGAAAATGGAATAGTGAATCAAAAGTTGCATTTAGGGGAATGTTTCATTGTCTAATTGTAACTTTTAGATTTTTCCTATTAATGAAGAAAAATGAGTGCTTACTCATTTTGGTTAATAGTTAATGGTGTTTGTTTAGTTAATAGTTTTTTCCAAACTCATTTCAGAATTTG